TATTATGACAAACGTTTTAATTAATATTAATAAGGGGACAATACTTAAATCCGTTGTAACAAGAAATGTGTTGTGGCGAGGTCTGCTGTGACGAGGTTTGACTGTAATATATAAAAAAAAAATTAATAAATGGTGGTTAACCGGTTAATTTAACCAGTTAATTTAATCTGGTTAATCAAAAAGAATTAACCGATTAAAAAAATATCTTAACCGGTTAACCGTTTAATTGCGGTTAAACGGTTAACAGTGCCAACCCCTAATAAAAACCAATGAAACAGTCTTTGGAGAGATGATGTTTCGGTTAAATGAAAGAGAATCCAACTGTTTGGAATTGATAGATCATCCATCTAACATATATTCCATGATGCATATTCGTTTATGGATCCTTTTTCTTTTGATGTCAAAATTAAAGTAAGTTTTTTTATTGTAAATAGGTCAATTGAATTTTTTTATGGATTTTTTAAATCCAAGAAAGTCATCATCATTATCAGATGCCTTCGACGTTATCTTCTTTGTCAACTTCCCCATCAAACACATTTGATATTATTCTCCTCCTCTGTTCATCAACAGCTACAACAGAAACAAATTAATTTTCAGAATGTTACACTACTCCACTATTATTATTACTATTATTATTATTTTTAATGTTTATCCGTAAATCCGAACATTCGGGAATATGGAATTCTAATTGGAAGAGGAATATGAGATTTAATGTATGAATATTCCTAACAAGTTTGGGTTTATTCCTTTATTTGTCAATTCTTAATAAACGTTCTGGTCTTGGGGGTAAAATTCTTGTTAATATTAACAATTATTTAATTGTGTTTCGCAGAGATAATAAAATTTTCCCTCAAATGGAAACTCATGCCTTCCTATAATTTAAAACCATCAACGCATATCAACACGTTTAAAAAAAGATAGTAAGTTTTATTTCCGAAAGGTTATATTTATTCTAGCATATATTATGGATATTACTTATAACAAATAATAAGAGCTTTAAATTAAAAAAAAAGGACAGACATATTTATATCAATATAAAAAAACTAGGCAAAAATTTATTGTTTAAAAGGTTTTTTCGTAATAAAATACATATTCTATATGTTTATTACAAATGAAAACAAAAAAAAAATTCTCTATGTTTTTTTTAACATTACAATTTTATATGTAAAATCCTTGAAATCTAACGATACCCAATATATAAAAAAAAGTTATAATTTTTTTATATTTTTGGAATCTTTAAGATTTATTCGAAAAATTTTTTTTGGTGAACTTGGATGCGGTGCAATTGTGTTTCAATTGAGCAGATTTTCGTCAATTCTACTATGTTGAAAAACACAAATTAATGCTTTTAAAATTCACTTATTATTTATATG